TGAATCCTACGTCGTTGACAAAGTGCTAAGCCATACGATTGGTAGGGGGCCGAAAACCCCGTAAAGTACACGTAACGTATCGTTTGCGACTTCGAGGATACGGCCCTGAGTCAGACCTTCAATACAGAGCAGACGAAATTCCACAATGTCAAGAAATGATAACTGCCTACCGAATACGTTGTGGTTTGGACATCGCGCAGTCTGATAAATCTTCGTCTCGTGCCCCAGTGGAACAGGGAGACCGAAAATCACCAAAGTAAAACAGGACAACGAAAACGAAAACAGGCAACTACTCCTCAAGAACTTTCAACTCGAAAATTGGTTACGCCAAGTGGCTCGGAGCCATTGAACAAAACCAGCAAACAAACGACGACGAAGGCGCCTTAAGTCATTTTAAGATCTGCCGACAGGGGATTGGCTTCAGTGGCTTCGTCGAACCTCGCTTTGCTGAAAACTCCGCACCCTGTCGGTGGGATGGCACAAAATGCAAAGAATACTGCTGTGTTTTGTTGTGGTCTTAGCTGCCACAGTTCTGCTGTATCGAGAGCACACTCAAACCCTCACGCCCATCGAGCACACCGACTGCAGGAGATTTCTGTGCTGCCGCCAATCGCGCCGCCGCAGGTCAAATGTTGACGAACATGTGCCACCAAAGAACTTCACCTTTAAGCTGGTTTCCAGGCACACTCGAACCCACAGCTAGAGCAAAACCTCACAGACCGCGCCACGCTCCCTCCATCACTTCCCTCCACCGAGCTCGCTCTAGATGGCGCGTTGGGATATGCAACTGCTGCGTGAATAGTTTAATTTCGCCGCATATGTGTAATCTACGGAGCCCCGCCACAGGCACACGCTGAGAAGACAACACGCCACGGGCCGTATCTCCACCACCATTGCACTGAGACCGGTGTGAAGAAGTGGCGCGGAGCTACGCTGAATTATTTTCAACTCGAAGCTATCTTCTGGAGAGGGGGCAGTCCACCTGTTTAGGGCCGTTTTAAACGGACCGACTTTTTGTCAAAATTTTTGAAGGGTACTTTGGAAAGTGCTCCAAATACTTTCAGAGGGTTGTCAAAAAGTTGGAACGAAGTGGAGCAAAGTTTTCGCGCCCAACTTCGTTCCAAATATTTTTGAAAAAAATGGACAAACGCCTACATACAGGTTCCATTTTTTTTGACACTTTCAAAATTTTTGACAAAAAGTCGGTCCGTTTAAAACGGGCCTTATTTGTCGGCAACCCAAAGCACGCGGGAGGGAGCCAAAGCCAGACTGCCGCTGGGGCGTGCGTGGTGAGTGATTTTTCTGATTTATCGCATACCGGGAGGTAGCTATTGTGTGAATGGACCATCTCGCATGCCAGTGTAAGCGAAGGCTTATGGGGCGTGGAAACAGCCGAAGGGATTGTGTGCAACCTTGATCTCCGATAATTCAGTTTTGTAAATCAGGAAGAAGAAGCGAGTTCGCAAGTCTGCCATACGATGCAGGTCACACGTGTGCGACAGCGATGCTGTGTGCGACAGCGATGCGGTGGGGTATGTTTCATTGTGCTTCCATATTTCTTTGAGATGACTACTGCACAAATGCTGTCAAGGTCTCATCTTGAAAACATGACGTGCCGATTGGTTTTTGGATCAACGCATATGAGAAAAAAAAATCGTTTGTGACGCCGAATACCACCCCCCTTGCCCGACTTCAAATAAAGGAACAATTCAACCATGGCCACCCGAAGTGACGCTATTCAAAACCGCGCAAGAGACGGCGAGCCTCGGGGTGTCGACCGTAGTAGAGTCGATTGCGACGGGAACAACCGAGATCGATGCAGCCACGCCAGTCGTGGCTCTCTGCGTAGCGGTGCTGAAGGCCAAGGGTATCGTAGAGGGGGCCAGTCGCAATAAGGAGGAGCTGGATGAGCTGTGCACATGATGATGCTGGTGCGGGAGGTGGTGCCACTCCTTCTAGGGGAGAGTCTGGGGCGAAACAGGCCCGATCCAATTCTCCGGACTTCGGCGCATCGGGCGGTGACTTCCTGAAGCAACGGAACGGAGATGAGCCGATATCGCCGCCGCCGCCACCGCCGCCATCGCCGCGTGTGGGTGTGTCTCGTTGCTGAGGTAGACCCATGCGTTTAACATTTGGTGGTTCCAAACCCTGATGAAGTGCATTTGCCATCTTTATTAACTCCGCGCCACCCGCTGCCACCGTCTTCGTCTGTTGCCTTGTATTCAACTTTGATCATACGGTGACATACAGATAGCCTTCACCAGAAGCTGAAGAAGCCGGAAATCGTGGCGGTGGGGAGGGATATGCCGGCAGCAGGATTGGAACTTGGTGATTTTCTTCGCGAGGAAGCTATGAGGAACGCGGTATTTAGTTCGTTCAAGGACACTAGGACGGCTGTTGCTGACTCCAGACATGTCTTTCGAGTACGCTTTACACTGTATTTCTTGCAAACAAGTGACGTGTACGTTTGCAGGTGTGAAGTGAAAGGAGGTGGACCACTGGCCTACATCGATCCCGCAAGTGTTGCACGTTGCTGGTGCTGGCGCTGATGCTCTGCCCTAAATGATAAAGGCCTTGTACTCGTAAAATCCCTCCCGCTCTTTTGTTCACCTCACGATGATAGTACCCCCTCGTGCGCCGCCACGCCTTCCAACAGCTTCTGTGTACGGTATGTTTCGTGACAACCAAATGGTGACAACCAAGGACAAAGACTGCAGTTACTTCATGCGCGGTAGATGCCATATTCGTTGAACCTTCAGGTGTTTTGGCCACCAATCCACAGTCACGCGAGGCGCGTTATACCACCGGTGCACCAGCGCGTGAAGGGCCAGCACGGAGGACGGTGGTGGCAGCATCTAGCGGCGTAGCTTCTCCTCGAGCGGTGACCTCTTTCTGTACACGAGCACCTGGGCCTGACATGTTGACCAGACGGCAGCAGGGGTGCGAAAGCTCAGCGGTAAGGGTTCACTTCACTTCTGTTTCTCTGGTTGGCCTTGCGACTTTGACTTGACTTTTCATCACACTTCCTGGCATACTGCACTTGTGTTTCAGGAACGTGAGAGCGGGCGATTCGTTCCACACCAACCCTGCCCCGTTTTGTTCCCAGGTACTATTCGGGAGCGCCATCAGCGAAAGCAGCTGGCACGAGGGTTTTGGCGGAGAGCTGTTGGGAGAACTGACAGAGAGCGGAAGCGGGAGGGGGAAGAGGTGTAGATAGCATGTCGTCACGCACGGCTCAGCATACTCAAGAGTCCGGGGTGCTCACTTGCGTCTGGAGAAATTAAAACATGTTTTTTTTGTATGGCACACGGTTGCTTGCTTTTCATCAGCTGGCGGTGTGCGAAGTGGAACACGTTGACCGTGCCTTGCCTCAACACCAAGTCACCGGTACATTCGAGGCAGGTGTGGTCGCGGTGGAAACTTTTTTATCAAACGCATTTCTACTATTCCAACTTTTGGTAGGCGCGGTTCAGGCGGCACCGGTTGTCAACGAGCGCGGGACTTTCGTGGCGGAGGCGCGGTAGGGGCTTGGTAATGTTGCCGCCAATCAATCAACATTGGCGCTTGGCCTGCGCGAAAAAATATGAGCGCGTGGTGGCGCAATCATTGCCTCCACGCAAGCGTTCGTGACAATATAATAGACGTTGCTCACGACGTGCGAGGCACATTTGGAAGCAACACCTTGCCGCCGACTCGTTGCCACATTGGCAAACCCTGCTGTTTTTGTCTCCCAGCAAACTGCTCTTCCCTTAACCTCCATCGTTCGTGCTTAGAACGTTTCGGGCGGGCGGAACTCGCGGACCATCTATAGCGAAAAAACATTTGGTACTGCCTGCACAGTCGATGTTGAGCAACCACCTTCCTTTTCCGCAGCGTTCATCTCGCGTAGGCGCCGTGTAAACGTGCGTAACATACGAAGGGGCGCCGGCCGACACGCCCGGGGCCAATATGCCCCGGCGCGGGTAAACGTTATCTGTTTTTGAGACGGTGATACGGGAGAGGCACGTGTGGCATCACCGGTTCGTTACCGCCGTGGGCTCCTCTGCTACCGGCTCCATCCCGCTCACTGAACACAACTTGGGGACAAGCTAGCCGTCGCAAAACACAACATTGCAAGTTGAAACGACGGACGAATGTCAGGCACGCGCACGCACATTCTGCCAGGTCCCAAAAACAACAATCGATCTCGTGACTGCCTTCTTGCCCGAAGCGATGTCCAAAGTGTCGTTCGCGGGAGCTTTCCGACGCTTCAAACGCGTCTTCTACGCCAACATTCCGGCCGCTATCGAAAGCATCAAGCCAAAAATGACCAAATTCCAGAGAGAAACCCTCTGGAACCTCGCTGAGAACCCGTTCATCGGACTTGAAGGCCATCGCCGAGCGCCAAGTGCATCGTCTGTAAACAGAGTTGCAAAGCAAGAATTCGAGCGCCTCCAGGAATCCCGGCGCACTTGGACTGCACCAAGGGCCTCGAGGTCGATGGGCGGTACCTCCGGACCGTACCTCCGGAGCGGGACACCGGATGAGCTCATGCCTCTCGCGCGATCGGCAATACCGGTCAATGTCAGGGAGGGATACAGCTCGTGCCACGGTCAACACACCTACGAGGCAGAAATCCCCAAAGCCATCCTCGGTGTCCTCCCGAGAAACATGTCATCTGACTAGAACGGTTCACACCACGAGGTCAACCCTTGGATGGAGAGAGTTCGCCAAGAGAAGCGCAAACGAGCGGCGGTGGAACAGAAAAACGCGCGACCGAAGAAACAAAGGCTTGAATGAACAGAGGAGGACGTCGATCAGAGGTGTGCACACGGTACCCGAAAGCGCGGAGAAGAACGTGTCGAAAGTTTCCGCGGAGGACAGCGTCGCCGCGATGTCCGTCGTCCGCGCCTTCCAGAGGGATGAGGATCTGATCGAACGCCCTATTTGGGGCGTGACGATGGCGTAAATATCTCGTTTATCCACCAACAATTAAAATGTATGCCGAACTAAATAGCAACATGGACGCCGTGATACGCGTCGACCGTGCATCAAACAAGGGCTCTGTCACGGACGTCGCCAAACTGGTTCTCAAATGTGACGATGAGGAGGCCGAGAAAGCTGTTCGCAAGCTCCTCGGCGCCACCTCCGACACGGATCGCGACTTCCTCAGAGTTCAAATCAACAACAGGGGGAGGCTCACGCTTGTGGCAGGCGTCAACATGCTTGTCGAGATTGTTTGGCTCTTGCCCGGCGTGATTGCGGATGACGTTCGTCGCGACATCTCGCACAAGGTGTGCAAAGCACTGGGCGGAGACACAAGGCTCGTGGAGGAATCCGAGACGCGTCACATCGCCATGCGAGAAGCGAGCCTGCACGCGAATGCCAGCAAGGTGGCCACGGACCAGTCGCGAGACATACCGCCCGGCTGTAAGTTCGTTTGTGCTGAAGATCGGGGGGAGCCCGCCATGGACAACAAGACCGACCTTGACGACATGCCACCTGGATTTCGGTTCCTGTCTGATGAAGATCGTGAGCAGTTCGCCAAACAAATGGTCGAGTAGTCTCTTAAACGTAAGCGCCAGGAAATCGAAGAAAAGGACATCTCGCTCAAGCGCGAGCGTTGCGACAACGTCATGAGCTGTTAAAGCTGGATGTCTGATTTCGGCTATGAGTTCGAGTTCGATTCGCGCACAGTATTTCACATTTTGGATACCATGGCCGTCCTCACCGAAGTAGACGTTAGTGTCAAGGGCGAGGTGGTTTAAACTTGCTTGCGGATCGACAAGTCAACGTCGCCAAGTTCCTCTCGAAAAACGCATGCATTTCACACACACAGCACCGGTCAATAGAGGCACGATATCCTTCTGTGACCGGGATGAATACGGCCGTGCACGGACGAGTTGGAGGCCGTGTACGCGCTGATTCGGGAATTCGGAGATGTAAAAGTGGCCTCTTTGCTTCGTCACCACGGCCATGTTGGAGCTGTCTGCGTGGAGCTCGTCGCGCGTGAAGAGGAAGAACAGGCAAGGGAGGCCAGACCCATGGCTCGAGAGGTCAAGCACCCCCTGAAGCAGTTCGGCGGAACCGGGCGGATATGCAAATGTGGTCGCCTGGCCGCGCGAGATTTCGATTTCAATACGTGCTCAGGGTTGTTGCCCGATGGTGACGTGTGGGCGGTGAAGATAGTGTGGCAATCAAGTCGTTGGAATAAAACAAATTAAGCCAGGTCGGCAATTATGGCGTCAAGCTTGGAGGATGGCCTTAATCTAATCGCGTTCAACAATCATGGCGTTACGCCTGGCTTATCGGCTTTGAGAACAGAAAGGCGCTTGCGCACTTTTCGTAAAGACAGCCGATCAGACTCGTTTCTTCGCAAGACCTTTTCACACGAGGCGGTATACTTCGGCGTCGTAAGTTCTGGGTAAACAATCGGGAGCTGACGCACGTTGGTTTGTCGTCTCCGCAAACAAAAATTTACCCCAAACTTTACAAGTCAAGACATGTGTAGGCGTGCCACAACTCGTCTGCAAGCATGTTGGCCTGGCTCATCGGCTGCTCCACTCATGGAATCTCAAAGGAAATGCTATCGAGAACGAAAGATGCTCTCCAGCTGCTGAATAATCTCACGTCCGACGGGAACATCGGGCATGACTACTACCAAGCGCCTGACTTCGCTTCTACAATGGACAGAAACCTCGCCGATTACATGCCCTACGTCATAGCGAAGGAAAACATTTGGTTGGTAACGAGTGGTTTTAGAATTCGGCAGGCCCACCGCGACGCATTCTATATCCTCAGCGCCTGTCAACTCCCAGTTCCGGTCGAGATTTTGTACGGCAACGCCAAGCAAGCCTCCACGGATGTAAAATACACGTGTAACGGCATGAAGACCGAAAACACCGGCTGGGGTAAGCACACCCAGGAGCGCATCGACGAGGCGTGGGCCATCCTCGAGGCGGACACCGTGGACATCGATCCGCTTCCCCCGGCAACGTGCGGTTGCAGCGCGATTCGCGCGCAGCTTTTTGTTGCGGAGAAGAAGGAGAACTGAACAATTACGGGGTGTTTGGAGTTACAGAGTGATTTGGATTCTCTGCAGAGCCTGGCATGTCGCTCTTTTTTTGGAGGCTCGAGGGTTGGCACGTCAGCCGTACCGCACGATGTCCCAGGCACTTGGCGTCTGTGTGTGAAATCGTGGGCTAACTGCGTGGGTAAGAACAAGAATGGAGACGCGATGCACAAGGTACACTAATGTATTCAGCATGGAGTGTCAAGCAGATCCGGTTAGCCGTGCTTTCACAGGAAGAGTTTTTGCCCTAGCTGACACTCTGGACATCCGCCATGTCACTTCACGTTCTGACGGTGACGTCACAGCTTGACGACATCTCGATCAGCACGATTCATCATGGCGAGTCAAATATTTCGCGCTCATAACGAACAGGATTCGTGCGGACGAGCAGAAGGAAAGCCGAGTTTCAGCGCCGCTACCGCGCGTGAAGAACAAGGTGGTGGAAACACTCGGTGATACACGCCGTTGCGCGCCCTGCGAGGAGTCTGGAGTTCAGTTTGGGGGGAGAAATTAGGTCTTGGATGGAGTTATTACCGAGTGGAATGCGGAGTGTGTTGCGCGGCTCGTACACGATGGCATACTCGATGAGGACTTTGAAGTTTAACGGGTTGTGCTCACGCCGCTTTAACGTGCCTGGGCACGCTAAAAAATATAGGAGTATTTTTCTGCTAGCAAAACTGTGCTTCTCGGGGGATTTGGTCGCCGTGGAAACTTTTGTATCAAGTGCAGCCGGCTGGACCGCCCATTTTTGGTGTTGCCTGCACGATCGATGTCGATGAGCCACCTTCCGTTTCCGGAGCGCCCACCACACGTAAACGAAGTGCTTTTGCAGCGCACATTTCAGGACGCGTGTTGCTCGAATGCATGATATCAATTATTTTTCAGATCTGCAAACACCCACTGGCACCGACTCCTCAATTACCAGCAACGGGGGCGACAGCAAGCGCTCGGAGACCACAAACCCAAACTTGCGCACGAGACCGTTGATCCACGTGCACCACTCGCGCACCACCAACGCTCTGAATTGGCTGCCTTCTTCCAAACTTGGAATGGAGTCTATGTGGTCGACGGCCTCGTGGTACGAACGGAAACAACGAGTACTGTCGCTTTCTCACAGACAGGGCCGACAACACGGAACGACCGGAGGCGCATTTCGCGCAGTGGGCAATTATGCTAATTCCTTTGCCTCGCGAACCCTTTGGTGACAAACTGGCGTGCGCCTATCTACCTTGTCCGACGACGAGGACCAGATTTACCGCGTTGGCCGTAGTTGCTGAGCAACACTGTGTGTATGTGCGTTGCGGTGTTTTGATTCGTCCGTTGGTGATAGCTTGATAGGCGGCGCACGATGATTGGCCAGCTGTATGTATGTTTGATGGGGCTACTCCTTAGAGCATTTTGTATTTCACCGCATAATGGATATTGAAAGAATCTACGGAGTCACGCTACATGCACCTGCTGAGAAACGACCCACAGGACCGCATCTCCACCATCTTTGCACTAAGACCGGTGTAAAAAATTGATGTGGAGCTGCGGGTTATTCTTTTGAACTCGAAGCTTTTTTCTGGAGAGGGGGCAGGTCCCACCTGTCTGTTTGTCCGCAACCCACAACGGGCGGGAGCGAAACCTGCCATCGGGGCGTGCATCGTAAGTGAACTATCTGATCGATAGCACGGTGCCGGGAGGTGGATCGTGCGCTGATGAACCATCTCGTATGCCAGTGTAAGCGAATGCTTGCAATGGACGTGGAAACCAGATCCCAACATATATGAAATTCGGATACGGAGGTGGCACAGACTGACCCCAACGCGTCTCACTGCCAGCAAGTGGAAGCACGTTCTTGTTTCTCGTTATGGCGTGGCGCGTACGCTTTTTTTCTCTATCGGAACGTGTGTTTCCGCACCTCAAGCCTTGCTCGTCACAACAGACTTTCCTTACATCACACACATTATCCATCAAAAACCAAGGCTGGGAAACACTGTCGCTGGCGGTGAGGTCATCGATCTAACCAACTCCTAGCAATCACGGCCCGGTCGCAGACCCCCGAACTCGAAGAGACCGGCACCTCCGAAAGCGACACAGACACAGAGTTGGAGGAACCGTCGCCCGCCTCCCACGCAGCGGATGCGGAGGTGGCACGTATTGTCCGCCGCCGCCGCAACAGCAACGGCGGTCCCATCGCCCCCCTCACTCGTTCACGGGTAAAGTCCAGCGGCTGAGTGACCACTCCCCGGCCATGTCGTACAGGCTGGCGAGGCGTCGCCTCCACGACCACAGCGGCCCTGACTGATTTGTTCTTGTTTTTGTGTTGTGCAGAGCTGTTGGTTGATACGGGGAAAGCTATCTGGCGCGATCAGTTATGCGCGGTACGCGAGTTTCCCGTTGATACCAGAGCGTGGAAATTAGTGGCGGGAATTTGTGCGTAACGAGGGTTTTAGAGTGCTAGAATCCATTTGCCGCGTGTCGCGCGAGGATCTGTTTGCGGGGATAGAGGATGTGGCTAGCCAGCTGCGGAGTAATCGATTTTACGTCGCTGTCAGCGGCGACAGCCGCGATGTTTGCTTTTCCAAATCCACCATTTTTGTGTCTGTCATGATGATGGCAAGAAACAAGAAGCTCGCGGAATAATTCCGTGGCTTCTTGTGCCACGGGCAACTGCTTGAGGGTTCTGGTTCTGATACCATACTGCACGTGGTGTAAGGAGGTGATGGTTCGTTCTCCAGCTCACAACTGACGAATGGAACTAGGGCTGTCTACGCATTTTTTTGCGGACGCATGACAGATAGTTTCGCACATTGAAATCCTTGACATCTCACCGCCAACACGCCAGAAATTAGAGAGTGGCATGCCCGAATTTGGTACATTCCACACAACCAAAAACAACCAAAGCCTGATGCTGAAGCTCTTCGCCACATGCCGGGAGAAAATGTGTTGGATATCGCGCACAGGTTTTTAAACCACGCTGATTTGTTCTCCCACGGCCGTGACAGTGTGCTGAGCAACCCCCTTTTCTGTATTGATCTCAAGATATACCTGACCATATGTCTGCTCACCCGCACTTTCTATTGGACCCATATATACTCTCTTCAGGAGGCAAAGTACCTCGTGGCGAGTCGCTGGTGTTTCGGTGCGCACCGTCGGCCGACAGCGAATAGCTGGAAAGATAATGGCCGGAACGCTGTGCCCCGTGCCTTGCTACAAAAGAGTACGGTGGAATGAGCATGTACTAGAGATTAGCGAAGATGGAGTGAAGCAGAAACATAAGCTACACCAGGTGTAATTCCTCATTTATTACTGTGGTCTTGGGAGGTAAACGCTTGAATCTTTAAACACTTCCTCAACGGGCAAGTTATGGTACGTTTCTTAACGCACAAAAAGACAAAAACAACGAGCTGCTCGCCTTGATGTCTGTAATTTGGAAGGATAGGATTCAAAAACAAGGTCAAGCCGAAGAACGACCTTGACAAAATCTATGCCTTGACAGAATCGATGTCACGCAGAATGCAAGCCACCGAAACTACTGTACACAATGCACGACAAATGTACAGTACGGGTGCTGAATTCCCTTTAGCACAATACTAGAATATAGGCTCGGGGGGTTAGGGTTAGACTGCTGATAACTTAGAGAAACATGCATCCTGAATTCCCTTTTAATACCATACTAAAATATAGGCTAAGGTTCAAAAACAATATCAAGCCGGAAAAAGTCCTTGACGTCTCTTTCTTCTCCCATTCCATAACCTTTTGCACAGCTAGTCTCTCAAGAGATGGCAAGCCGACCGTCTCTATCTTCTTCCATTTCATAACCTTTTGCGCAGTTAGTCTCTCAAGAAATGACAAGCCGACCGTCTCTCTCTTCTGCCATTCCATTACCTTTTGCGCAACTAGTATCTCAAGAGAGGACAAGGCGACCGTCTCTGTATTCTCCCATTTCGTAACCTTTTGCGCAGCTAGTCTCTCAAGAAATGACAAGTCGACCTCTCTCTTCTTCCATTTCGCAACCTTTTGCGCAGCTAGTCTCTCAAGACATGACAAGCCGACTGTCTCTCTCTTCTCCAATTTCAAAATTTCATCCTTTTCAGCCGATCACGGCAATCTCTACCGGAAAGCCGTTCATTTCAGCTTCTGCACATGCCCATCTTCTCGAAACCAAATTTAACCCTTCACCGCCCATGCTCGCACACACACACGCACACCTTGCGATGTCCCCGTACGCGCACGCTTTCGTCCTACTCTTGCGGAGGAGGATTTGATTCGTGCGGAGCTCGCGGAGGAGGTTCGCTCGACTCAATCATACAAGGCGTACTGCAAGGAGCATGCGGACTACGTTAAGAATGACCTCGGGATCGAAACACCGCAGTCCATGCAGTTTGCAGACGAGAACTGCACCGTGGTCAAGGGTGCGGTTCCCGTTGACATCCTAGATCTGAGAGAGAAGTACATGAAGAGGCGTGGTTTCAAAAAAGAAGCGTTTTTCACGAAAGTCGTGAACGACGTAGTGTATCACGACTTCAGTTGGCAGATGTTTAATTGCGCTCTGGACTGGATGATGTACTTCCTCACTGCTTCGCAAATGGCTAGCAGTAGTCCGTCTATTTCCTCGTCGTTGTTTACTGCCGCGCCGAGTGATGGTGCGCACACGCCGGTACCCACGGCTGTGCCGAGGGGTTTGAATATTACATTGCATACTTCTGATTCAATCTCCGACAGTGGTATTGGGGAAGGGGGCGTTGAGGACGATGAAAGTTTTCAATCGGTGTCTCCCACGCCTCCCGAACCAAGTGAAGGTGTGCCGGTGGCGGCTGACGATTTTGCCGAGACCGGCGACGCAAGTGCCGGCGCAGCACTTGGTTGTGTACGGGATTTTTTGTGGGATTGGGTTCATTGTGATTCTTTACTTCGTAGCGTGAGTAATAAAGCGTAGGCTGCGCCGAGCGCGGAAAAGTAAAAACACAAACGATTGAAAATACACGGCACGGAGAAGAGTACCCAAAAAAGGGACACAAGGGTGGTCTAAAACAACAAAACTACGTTTGTTTAATCCACGTGTTCATCACATCACACCCATCAAGTACCTTGCAACACGAGACTGAGATACATGCACCCAAAGAAGGACCGGTGTATATGCACGACCAAAACAACTGTGTAGAACGGACTCCCCCCTAAACGAGAGCTGTATCCACGTTCGTTTCCTTGAGTACTTCACTCTATCGAGTTGATAGGATATGTCTATGACTGGGAAAAGTCATGTATACAAAGTACCACCACGAAGAGAGCACGAATACTTCTCTCCTTTCACCTTTCTCCCAACAAAACGGGCCAGACTCGAGATACGAGACGGAAAAACCGGCTGGCCAAATCGAAGGTTGATGCTGAAAATCGAGCCGAGCTCTCAGATGATTTGGGACCCCGTCTTTTGAAATCAGAAATCTGAAAATATATTTGGTTTGGCGGTACATGGCCAAAAATCGTATTCTTTGATCCACCGCACACAGCCAGAATACCCCACAAACGATTGAAAATACACCGCACGGAGAAAAGTACCCAAAAAGGGACACAAGGGTGGTCTAAAACAACAAAACTACGTTTGTTTAATCCACGTGTTCATCACATCACACCCATCAAGTACCTTGCAACACGAGACTGAGATACATGCACCCAAAGAAGGACCGGTGTATATGCACGACCAAAACAACTGTGTAGAACGGACTCCCCCCTAAACGAGAGCTGTATCCACGTTCGTTTCCTTGAGAACTTCACTCCATCGAGTTGATAGAATACATCTATGACTGGGAAAAGTCATGTATACAAAACACCACCACGAAGAGACCACGAATACTCCTCTCCTCTTACCCTTCTCCCAACAAAACGGGCCAGACTCGAGATACGAGACGGATAAACCGGCTGGCCAAACGGAAGGTTGATGCTGAAAATCGAGCCGAGCTCTCAGATAATTTGGGACCCCGTCTTTTGAAATCAGAAATCTGAAAATATATTTGGTTTGGCGGTACATGGCCAAAAATCGTATTCTTTGATCCACCGCACACAGCCAGAATACCCCACAAACGATTGAAAATACACCGCACGGAGAAAAGTACCCAAAAAGGGACACAAGGGTGGTCTAAAACAACAAAACTACGTTTGTTTAATCCACGTGTTCATCACATCACACCCATCAAGTACCTTGCAACACGAGACTGAGATACATGCACCCAAAGAAGGACCGGTGTATATGCACGATGGGTAAACGGACTCCCCCCTAAACGAGAGCTGTATCCACGTTCGTTTCCTTGAGTACTTCACTCTATCGAGTTGATAGGATATGTCTATGACTGGGAAAAGTCATGTGTACAAAGTACCACCACGAAGAGAGCACGAATACTTCTCTCCTTTCACCTTTCTCCCAACAAAACGGGCCAGACTCGAGATACGAGACGGAAAAACCGGCTGGCCAAATCGAAGGTTGATGCTGAAAATCGAGCCGAGCTCTCAGATGATTTGGGACCCCGTCTTTTGAAATCAGAAATCTGAAAATATATTTGGTTTGGCGGTACATGGCCAAAAATCGTATTCTTTCATCCATCTCACACAGCCAGAATACCCCGCAAACAATTGAAAATACACGGCACGGAGAAGAGTACCCAGAAAGGGACACAAGGGTGATCTAAAACAACAAAACTACGTCTGCTTAAACCACTTGTTCATCACATCACACTCATCTAGTACCTTGCAACACGAGACTGAGATACA